GTTTGATAAACATGAAAAGTCAGCGGAAGTCGTACCGTGGCAAAACTTGTAATTCAAACTACGGGAGATAGTTACACCACTGCTATGCCAAATTCAAACATATAAACAAAATCCCGAACCGTCCGTCAGCTCACTCCTCCGGTCCGACTATGTGACCTGAAAAACATAAATAAACATGGGGAGTGAGCACTAAAAGCCACTGTGCTCCCTAGGAAATCATACTAAAGTTGAAATTTGATACTCGAACACCAAATATCCAGAGATGCACGTAAATTGACTAGACAGACAGTAATGAAGATTCAACCAATTGCGGAAGCAGTTTTTCATAAAAAATTGAACCTTCAGGAGAGCGTCCCACTCTCCCTTCAGATCTCTTTCATTAATGTGAACAACTCATACATCATCTAAGGGTTTACAGTATAGACTCCCTCTACACTCTACTTGAATGATGATTCACACAACTACTTATCCGACCACAACTCCCTTGTGGATTTTCTAGTTCGAATCCCTCAAACTATAAGAACGAACCTCCGAACGTTCTTTTACAAAGTGTTCTGAATTCACTCTTTTTCACTCACTGAAAGAAAAATAACTAACTCAAAAATCAGATTCGAAAGTCATCCTCAACTCTGGTCTCGTCCTCATTTTATCTTCAACATCCCTTGGAAAGTCTTCTCATCCAAGACAAACGCAGATAAGGAATGAAAATCTCTTGAACTTTTTCCTTCTTTGATTATGGAAGGTGAATCTCGCGATCCTCCTTCTCTTTAGATTATAGAAAGCGTATCTCCCCCTCAATCCCAATCCTGCCAAAATAATAACATAAATAATCAGTCCTTTGAACTCAATTAAAATAAAGACTTATTCATACAAAAAATAAACTTCCCTTAAATACTTCCGTAAATTTCTGGACACTGCGAACGTCAGAAGGTTCATCGATTTACTGCCAATCTTCAGCACTTTCAATCTCCCCCTTTGGCAGATAAATCAAAAACCATGAACCTGCAAAGATGAAACAAATACAAATTCTGTAGAATACACGACTTCCTAAGAATACTAATGTCACACATGTGTTGTTCTTAGGAACAACTTCAAATACCTGAATACTAGCACATTAGTTCACAAAATATCCCACAAACGTTCATCAATCGCAAGATAATAGGACATAAAGGAAGAAGTTCAAACAAAACACACAAAACCGAGTTTTTAATAAAACGCAAATAAAATTCCTGCTGGGAGATAGCTATGCAGATTCTTCCTCATTAGATTCTTCCCTAGAACCTTCTTCAACACCATCCTCAGTCCCTTCCTCTGAGCTTGCTTCCTCTTCCTCATCCTCGGTATCAGACCCAGCTTCTTCTGCTTCTTCATCCTCTCCTTCTTCTGAACCTTCATCTTCTTCCACAACCTTCTCCTTTCCCTTGTCCTTAGCAGCAACAATCTTCTATTTCCCTTTTTTCTTAGCACCACAGTAGCAACAACTTCTTTTGTCCCAGTCTTCTTTTCCCCCTTAGCAAGAGCTTTCTTCTCCCCCTTAGTAGGAGCCTTCTTCTTTGCAGCAACAACATCCTTCTTTTTCTCCCCCTTTTTCGATTTAGAGACCAACGGGAGACGAGACTTTAAAGCACCCAGAACCTCTTTGTAGTACCTTCGCTGATCAGCCAACTTCTTTTCAAGCCTCGCAAAAACTGCCACTTGATGATTTAAAAATCCGCGGAGCTGTGAAGGTGCATCAGGCCTTAACAAGAGAAGGACGAGACAGAGCAACCTTAACACCGGCAAGGGCAAGAGGTTTTTTAACAGGGGCATAATTATCACCAAGTCGAGGATCCAGTTTCACTCCAGCCTTGAAGAGAATAGCACATATGGTAGATGGGTACAACATCAACTTATGAGGCTCGGAGATTTCCGCAAAGCTCACAACAGCATCAAAGATCACAGAACCAACATCGAATAGGGTACCATTCAGAATACGATAGATAACACGAGCTTGAGTAGGGGTGACAAACTGCTTGTGAGTGGTAGGAGTCCAATTCGACACTCCTATCTTCTGTAGAGCATTGGCAGGCGGAGTCAAACTTTTCACAAAGATTCCCGGAGCAAGCCATTTGGTAAGTTGTCCACCGGTCAAGGTGCGAGCAACTTCATCAAGATCATCAGTCAGAGGACGAAGAGAGGAACCTTCAGCTAAACCAAGTACAGAGTCCACAACAGACGGAGAGAATTCAACCACATTATTATGCACAAACACTTTCTGAAACTTCTTTGAGGACGGATCAATGACAGAGGTAGTCAGGTTCGAATAAAATTCACCAACAAGCCGGGAACAATACTTCCCAACAGACGTGACTGAGCCCTCAAGACCCACTTTCTTCAGAAGTTCAAGCAACCCAAGTTGTTCACAGTGTTCGCTATCAATCGTCCACTCAGGACGAAACTTCATTTGAGAAAAGATGGTAGGAAAACGTGTTTCAGCCAAAGGAGAATAAAACTGATGGGAGAAAGCATTACCAACAGTAAGAGGACTGTCTGGACCATCACCATCGACTTCAGCAACGATTTTTTCTTTCTCAAGCGGAGAAAGTTCTTTGTCCGCAGCATGTTTGTTGTCTGATTTCTCAGGTTCAACAACATAGTTGGTAACCTCACGTTCAACAGAATCAGCATCAGAATCCGGAGATGGCTCTCCTCCATATTTCGTGTGAGAAGGTGTAACACCCCACTTTGATTCTTAAGGAATTCCGGACTTCCAAAAAACTAGTATAAAATTTTTCGAACTCATTTTCGAAAACTTGGGCGTTATACAACATTTAACATCAACCAAGTCGTATCTGGTTGTTCACATTGTTTTCATTAACCTTTTCAAATTCAATTCCACATGATTATTAGCTGAACCACATAGGATGCATAATCGAAAACACATGATATTCAATAAATAACTCTCATACGAATATCAAACTAAGGGTCCAAAAATCCCGACACGAACAAGTTTGAAAATAGTTCAACACGTCTCAAAGGACCACACTTTATTCATAATGGAAGTGAAATCATAAACATATAAATCATGACCAACCGACTCGTCTTTCCCCCGTCATCCGGCACCTGCTTAACTTGCATCCGTGAAGAGCAGGTGGGAGTGAGCACAAGATGAAAGTAGTGCTCACTACTATGCACATAAATACCACATGTCAAATCGTATGGTCGCAGCATGAATATAAGATAATCACATCATGTCTCATCTCCTATCAAAATCACAACCAGCCACATTACTCCTGTGTACATCTATCGCTAGCCGCAGAACGGGGATTTATTACCCGAAGGCGGGAGTACATGCCACGCTACGGACACGGCCTTCCATATGAGCTTACGTACCTCGCAAGGGCACGACCATATCAGGACTTAAGGAGACTTGTCTCACAAAGGCAACCATATTACATCGACGGGGACAACCGTAACAGCTCACATCGATAGGCTACATATTTCATATTCATACATAGATCATACCCATAACTATAAACATTCATCATTTATGGCATAGACAATTTTAGATTAGAACCCACCTGGTATAGCAATGGAGAAAATGGCACACAAACGGGTGTAGGCAGCGAGCACGGCTCGTCGGACACCTACAACAATTATATACTAAGATCAACACCTACTTGACCTTAGAGAACAATCACAAGCATACATTGGTCGAACTTGATTCAACCAAATAGTTCGTGAAGTTCCGTGGACTCACTGGCATGGTCGTGCACGACTGGGAGCTGCTGGGATGCGCGCGGGCGCTGTCGCGACGCGCACGGGCGCTGGGGCACTGTGCTGCAGGCGCTGGGCTACGGGTGTGTGCTAGCGTGCGCTGGGGCGCTATGATGACAGATCGTGTTGTTATCTATATTTGGGTTGTGAATAAACGGCGCACTCAGGGCCTTCGTTTAGACACGATAGGTGTATCTAGCACACGCACTCAGGGCCTTCTTCTAGACACTGTGACTTCGAGACGCTCTCAGGGCCTTCTCTCCGACACTGTATGTAAACACGTACTGACGACCTTGTTTATCACACGTTAGAACATAAAGTTCCCCTCAAAATTGGCTCACCAATTCAATACTCAATTCAAGACATCAATTTGTGTTGGGTACATGGGGTATTTATAGGTGCATAAAATAAATCTAGGCCTAAATAAACTAGATCTCCTAACTCTTGCAATAATAGAAATCCTAATACTAGAAAGCAATAAAATCCTACTATTACTATAATATTAATGCTTGGCTTGCACACCAAGCAATTCTAGAAGCTCTCAAATTAAAACCCTCGGCCGCCTCATATCTCGTCCGCGTCGCACGCGTCATCCGTGCGCCGCCTCTCGCGCTTGCCTAGTCCTCGGCGCCTTAGGACTTGCGCGCCCGTATCACACGCGCGCGCCTATACGCGCGTCCAGCCAGCGCCGCCTTTTCCTTTGCGCGTGCGCCCAATTCCCCTCGCCTATGAATACCGTGTTTAGGCGTGCGCCCTCGCATACCGTCCACTCGCGCGCCTTCGCGCGCTTTGCATCCCCGCCCGCTGCCTTGCGCGCGTCCCAGCTACCGCCCGTGCCCAATTCGCCTACGGCAAATTCGTGTACACCCGTGCACCCGCCACCCATGCGCCCGCGTACCCCTCGCCATTCCCGCGTGCGCGGCTCAGTTGCCCACTCGTGTGCATCAAGTGCCGATGCTCACCTTTTGCCTTTTAGCCCCTCACTAGACTTGTCGGTCCCTAACTCCACTTCCGTATCATTCCCCTCTCTCCTCTTCAAGACCTTCCTTGTCCCCAAGGATAAGAAAATTCAGCTTCCTAACTCGACCATCCTCGTCATCCTCATCAGGTGACTCGCCTGGATCCTCAATCCACAACTTGACCCTCTTACTCGATCTCTCGAACTCCATAGTTCCTTTCCAATAGTCGGTTGTGATTGGACCAAGAGTCTCCAACCACTGGCATCCTAGTACTATATCAGTCACCTTCAATGGCAAGGCATATAGATCCACTCTCATCTTTTGACCTTGAGCCTCCATCTTTACACCCTTGAAGAGAATATCCCCTCGTAGTGTTTCCCCGTTTGCTACTTTGACTCCAAAAGGTTTTACCTTGGTGAACGGAATCTCAATTTCTTTGGACAGCTCCTCGTCAATGAAGTTCAGCGTTGACCCACTATCAACCAATACTTCCACCAATTTGCCCCTAACTTCAGCCGTGAATGTGATCATCTTCGGACCACGTTTCTTGCTTTTAACCATATGCAACAAGGATTCCTCCTGAGGTTTTTCCTCCTCGCAATCATCCCCAATTTCTAACAAAAATACTTCCTTACCTTTGCACTTGTGGCATGGTGTGAATTTTTCGTTGCACGAATAGCAAAGGCCTTTTTCTCGTCGTTGCTGCATCTCTTCATCAGTCAAACGCCATATGTTGCTCGTTGTTCGAACAGCCTCGCCCAACGGCTTGTACTCTGTTCTCGCCGCTGGTTCCTCAGTAGCGGCGTGCGTGCGTTTGGTCTCAGTGCGTACGTCACTCGGCCTGGCCTTGTGTACTGCCATCAAATGATCCTCATGTAGTCTCGCCGACTCCATGGCTGCTCGCACCGATCCTGGCCTATCCAACCTCACCTCTGCTGCTAATTCAGCCTTAAGTCCTCCAACAAACATTCCTACTAGCGCACTCTCGGGCCAATCCCGCACCCTACTAGCAATGCGCTCGAACTCCTTTTGATACTCCCTCAGACTACCAACTTGTTTAATTCTAGACAAGGCTTCATTGTAATCGTGGTAGTCACTTGAGCCAAACCTTGTGATGAGCTCTTTCTTGAAATCCCTCCAACGCATGTGCTCGCCATGGTTCTTGTGCATCACCCATTGCCACCATACGTTTGCTTCTCCATCCAGATGATAAGCAGCAATTTGAACTCTTTTGTACTTTGGCACATCATTGATTTCAAAAAACTGCACTGCTCGACTCAACCATGCATCCGGATCTGTTCCCGTGAATGTGGGCATAATGATTTTCGGTCGTGTACTGGCCCTTTCGTCCAATTGTTCATCGTGATCGTGGCGTCCCTCGTGTCGCCGTGCGTGGCGTCGTCGGTCATCGCGGTGTGGCCTCCGCTCGTCATGTGTTGCATGCGACGCGTAAGTTGCATGCGATCGCCAGTCGTCGTCTTCCTCGCGCCTTCGGTCATGATGTGCGCGTCCGTCATACCGTTGCCGATCGTCGTAGTGGTGGTCCGCGCGCGATGCGCGTGTGCCCCTCGATTGGCGATCATCCTCGTGTTCG